TCGGCCACTTGCATAAAGGAAACAAATGATTACAGGGGTCGACCGATGTGTACCAGAGGATTGTGTCTTAATTTTATAGGAATGGAGATAACCTCCACTTTTTATACCACGTATAAAAAATTCACCGATGAAATAAAGGTATATGTAATTAAAAGGGGAGAACTCGTAACCTCAACCTTTAAATTCTTGATAGAACCGAACATTAAGCACTCTGCCCTTTTATTACAAGTAGTGGGTAGGCGTTAATTTTGATAGCGCCGGCCGTAATTTCGGGTGCTTTTTCGTTTGGCCATAGCGATAGGAGTCAAACCTTACTTGATGACTCTATGCGATCCAAATCATTAGAATGATAAAATACGAATTTTGAGTGAACCTCAATATAAGGTCTACCGCTAAATTATAATACCATCCATAACGGTGTTTATTCTTGATCGCTAACTTTATCGAAGGCAGGTGGTATGCCTTCAACGACAGCCGAAGTATTCGAAGGAGCTTTCGTCTTCTAATAAGATCGACTCGTAGCACGTAATGCCACATTGTAGGGCAGAATAGTGCGGTTCTAGGCGCCTAGTCGATGATGAACAATCATAAAGCCTTGGTCAGTAAATTGGATTTGGCGTAGAGGAATCGGCTTGTCCAACAAAATTAATTTGGAAGCGACTTTAGATTGTAGTAAACCCGGCGATTTCGAGATAGAAGTCCGCCAATTGCAAGGGCTGGTGTAATATGCGCCAGCGGAGTGCCGTGTTCGACGAACCAGTCGTTAATTAGCACACCGGAAACGTTCTCCGGCAGGCGCAAGATCAACTTAAAGTAAATGGGAGTATTTTGAGTACATTTGGACTCTTGAAAAGCGTCCAAAAACAATCACACTTTTTACCCCCTCCAATTTTGTACAAGCTTCCCAATCGGTACATATAAAGCTGATGAAGCATTACGGATTGTCTTAAAGTCCTGTAAATACTTCCGACCACTGCATAGATCATGCCTTTCGACAATTAACGTCATGATTTACGTATTGTAAAACGTGGCTGTCAGTTCGCGATCAGGTATCCTTTTGGGTAGACATAATTCGGTCGAAAGTTATTAGATTACGCTGGCGGAGGGATTACCCCATCCGTCATTAAAATTCCGATCGGACATTAAAAAGGCTCTTTCAGCCTTAGCGAAGGATTCAAGGGTCGGGCAAACAATCATTTCTAGGAGTAGCTGCATGCCAGGCCCGAAGCCACTTCTTATCCCGTAATGTCCTACTGAACTACTCATTAGAAAGAAGTAACAATGGCATTATATGATTCTTACGAACCATACTCTGCACCAACTAGATACTAAAAAAGGCTCTAAAAAGCCACTATCTGATTTGTAATACCGATACACAGCAGTAACGCTTGGTGCTGGGATACGCGCCGGAAAAAAAGGCAGCCGAAAGTCGTAGAGGACAACAAGGAAGCCGAGAGCTTCAACCTTAGTTTTGAGGACGCCTAAGTGACCGCCAGTCGAAGGGTACCTGGACATCCAGACCTAAGTGATCGTACAGACTACTTCTGCGTGTTTACTCCACTACGCGTGGATCGAAATTTCAACATCCACACCCGTTTGGCCTAGCGTCCGGGTTCGTGTTACAACTACCACCTCCCGATTATGACGTCGTACCGCAAAAGTAGTTCATGCAAATTCAGTTGATTCCTTTCAGAGACTACTCGGCGCAATCTCGAGTCACTTCGAAGGGATGAGCTTTTAGTAAAAACAGGAGGCAGCTAACTATCTAGGCAACGGAAGGGTTGGAGACTAAAGGCTGAGGCTCGCACTAAGCGGGGTGAGTGGTGCAGCACAGGCTGGCTGTCGAACGAAGCGGATGAGTAAGCTTGGATGTCTGTATCTCTTTAGACGACAGATACTAAATTAAGAAGTCGGATTTTTACTTGTTTACACTCATTAACAGCTTAACACTTCGGACTCGAAATAATCAGCTATCGCTTTCTCCGTTTCAACATGCTTGTCTTTTTATTAGAACAAATTTAAAAATTAAGCTCATTTTTAGAGCCTGATTGGCTGACGCACCCAAAAATGGTAAAAAAAACCTATTCTGCACTCTTTCAGCTAGTGTTAGTCGCGCAAATCTTCTGTTGCCGCAAGCTAAGCAATGAGCACTCGACATCCATCGTTTTTGAAAGCTTTGACGCCAAATTCGATTGCGTAGCGTTTAAGCCACCGATTGTCAAATGTGAGGGCTTAGTAACAGCTTGAAAAAGACTAACTATCAATTTTGTCTTTGGAAATTATAAATTACATGTTGTAGATCGTTGTTGCATCGTTAAACAAACGCATCACTTAGCTTATTTCACATTAATTTGCTTCTATAATTGTTTGTAACAAATGTAGAATTATCATCAATTTTAGATTAATAGGGGACCATACGAATGCTAGCATGTAAACATTTTTTTTTACCTTTTTAGGTATATGCGCCAAACAAACAAACGTTTCGAAGCAGATAATTTTTCTTTTAAATCAGCAAAGAAAATGAAACGGAGGGAGTAGCAAGTAGTTGGTGGTTGAAAGTGCGGGCCATAAATGCGTGGTTGATATATGATCACAACCCCAACCAACAAGTCATTTTCCCTCAGTATTTGATCATCGACCAATAGGAGATCGCCATATAATTATAGCCAAAACGTGAAGCACAATTCTGCACTTTCAGCGAATCGGACTGATCGGGGTAGAGAAATATCGTTCCGACATCATTTCGAAAAAATGCGTCTGAATAATACTGTAAATGTGTGATCCCGTACATTTGCCAATTTTAACTCACAATATGTTGCATATCGTTAAGATTCTGACAAATTAGGACGCCTTTCTGAAGCATCAACTGTTTGAATATAATTGCAAGCCCAAAGGATGAAGCTATTAGTGAGTGTGTGCAAGTTTATTTGCCAAACTTTAGAATCTTGCTACCTGTTTGTGTCCGTTTGTTTAAAATTAACACCGTTCGGGGTGCCTAATACATTCTAACTATGATCTAGCCTGTTCACTTCATAGGTAAAGGTATGTACCAAGTCACTCTTTGGCAAATTCACTACTTTGAATCACGAACGTGATTAGCTTTCTAAAGTCGACTAAAGGCGAATGTGATCACATAAGCAAATGCTTCCGCTTATAAGCAAAGACTAATCGCGTTGCCCAAATATACTCTACTGTGTTAATGCAGAAATTATCAGCATGATATTCTTTCTTCAGTCACTGCTGTTGCATAGTGTTTTGCAAATTGATTTCAGTGCTATGAACTCTAATACTAATATCAAAGGGCGAGCTCCAGAGCGCGCTCTCTTATCTTTTAATAATGTAGGGATAGTCATTTCAAAACCTTGACACCATGAATAACATAATCATTAAGCTCATTTTTAAGCAGGTGTGCCCAGTATAACCATGCTAACTCATAGCTGCAGTTTACCAAATGAAATATTTAAAAAAGGCTATTAAGCTATAAAAACAAGACAGCACATTAACATGAGCATTTAGTCATTGGTTTCATTTAAATAAGGCGGCCTTTCTCACAGCAGTAAACAACTTCAATGAATTTCTCTCGTAGGTGTCCGTCACGGTTGAACAGATGAGCATGTCTATTCTCAGTGATTGGTCCGGTGCATGCTTCGTCGCATTAATGGCAAATTTCGCATGCCGTTGCCTAGATTAAGTGCAGCAATGGCAAATTCTAGCGAAGAATTCTGAAATTTTTGTAAAGACAAGTGAAGAAGTAGATGCTCGGGTATTTTAAGTCAGCGGAGTATGCCCGGCATTCTTGACGCAATTGACTGAAGAAAAGTGTGATATGGAAATGAGAGTAGCTGAATCATGATAACGAATAGCTTAGGTGTTCGAGCTTGCGCCATCAAACGCTCAAAAGTATGCCTTTGTGTCGATGCTATACGTGTTTGGAAAGGCAACAAACACGATCATCTCACATGCGCCGATCATGCTAAACTATGCACGTGGCAGCCAGCAATTGTTACTCAGTACACAGCTACATCCAAATAGCTGAATACATGATCGCGCGACCAATCGGATGGGCAGAAAAATGGCACGATCAGATTAAAATAGCGGCTTAAAAAGGTCGCGTTTGTTTTGTTACTGGACGCGTAAAGCATCGGCACAGAGGCACACTTTTGCGCGCTTGATGGCGCAATTACGAACACCTAAAGTATGCTATACCATGATTCAGCTTCCTCGTTGCCATATCAAGCTTTTGCTTAGTCAATTGCGTCGAGAATGCCGGGCATACTCCGCTCACTTCGACTTACTTCGCGTTCCTTGCGAAAGAAAGCATAAATGAATGTAGGATGACCCTGATCATTCAACAAACATTCTTTTATGCTTGAAACATGTACTCTCGGTGTGGCCGTATACTTTTGACCGGGTGCCAAAAGCGGCTTTTGTACGTGAGCGATGCCATTAGCTCAAAAACGGGGACTTTGTTAACATGTGAGAGGTATGTAATAAAGCTTTGCGCATAACACACCAAACAACAGCGCCGAACTCGTACTATTATAAAATTAGGGGTAAAAATGCGGGTGGCCGTATAATTATGGCCTGGACTGCAAAGTCTGCTTGAAAATGTGGCTCTGTTTTGCCGTTTCTAACGCTGGTAAAAAGCAGAGGTTCTTAACTGGGACTTTTCACCCAGCATTTCTAACTTAATGACGGTCTGACTCTTATTCGATGTCAGTCGGTGGTTTTTTGCAAGTTCGCTTCATCGCGCCCTCATCGTCCACCACGTCAACCACAAATGCGTACCTACTCGTTCATCAGCCACAAATACGTACCTACTCGTTCGCATTCGTCACTTCTACTGCGATACTGACACGCAGCACGACTTCTTATAGACGCCCAGCTCTACTATATCAGATGATAACCTCCCAGTCAGTATCCATTCCTCCGACACGAACACAATCGTCACTATCGATAGGCTGTCGGAGACGGACGAAGTCACGACTGATGAAGATCGGATGGGGCTCGAGCCAATCGTGGAAGAGTTATACGGGGCAATTACCGGACTGATTTCTGCGGCGCACAGAGCCAATCCAGTCCTACCCACCCACTCCGCGTACATTAAAAACAAGTTACTGCTGTATGATATACAGGCCGCCTTGCGGTATTTCGCTAAGCAAGGAATTGGATTAAGTGCATGTCAGATGATAGTCGAAGATGGTCACAAAGACCAGCGTGTCTTCGAGCATGTCATGCCTGAACGGGCTCGAGAAGATCTAAGGGCGATTTATATGCGGATCTTTGAATCGGAGGAGGCGAAAAAAAAGCTGAGAACATTCAAACTAGATCCTGACGAGGTCTTCACAATGATGGTTGATGCAGGCGAGCGTCCAGGGGTTGAAGGCGATCATTTCACGACAACTTCCGCATCCCCAAGCCTGGAGAAGTTGGACACGTTTATCAAAAAGTACAGCTCGCGTCACCAGACGAAGTACACGATGCTGGGAACGCTCAGGACAGGCATCGATGACCCGGACGCACCCGTATCTTTCGTGTTGATTGCGATATCCGACTCTGTCCGCGGAGATCCAGCAGAGCGCGTACAACAGAAGTTGTTCGAGGAATGGCAATGTGATGAAGGCATACCGGTCGAGTGATCGATCAGAGTGAGGATGAATTGGATGCCAGTTGGGATTACACAGGTCTTCGCGTATCAGTTCTACCTAGGCACCTTGATTGGGCATACCTTCTCATGCGCTAAGAATCATCCCTGTCTGCAAGCGTTTACAGTTCGCCTTCTCAGGGATCAGCTTGGCAGCAGTCGGTTTCTCATGCTGATTCTACGTGCAAGCAGGTAGATTACGCATTCGACTTCAAGTTGGTGTGGAAGGTGTTCCTGCAATTGATGCCACAGCGACGCCACGCCAAAAAGAGAAGGTTGTTTTTTGCGCAGGACTAACATTAATGCTAATGCCACGCAATCGGTTGCTTCACAGTGTGCCGCGTTCTACGCTGCGAATGCTCCACGCACGCTGGTCCTTCATGTGTGTTATATTCTTTTCAGTCACTTGCGTACGCAAAGTAACAATACATTTCATCGATGACTTGATCTCACTTGCAAGTGCGCAATGCTCGTTTTTCATTGAGGAAGGCTTGGCTAAAAAGAGATGTGTCAAGCAACAAGTGTTGTTTTAGCACCAGACACGTGTGTCGCCGAAATGCAAGAATAAACGAAATGGGTTGGTTAAGGTACAGGATGAGCACACGCCGAACACTGTTTTTGAAAACTGCACCACCAGGATAAGCTTTTGATATCAGTAGTAGCGGCTGACATAAACTTGCCTAGTCGGGCAATTCGATAGCCATGCAGATTTACATTGGCTTTTTCCATTTCATCACAAGGAGAAAGACCACTTCAAGTCTACAGCAACAAAACTCCATGACCAGGGATGTGCATGCATGTGAACATTTGACCACGATGTCGGTCCTTAATTCATTGGGGAACCCACGTTGAGGAAGAACAGGTTGGGATGAGACTATGGTTCGTAGACGAGCTTCTAACATGCTTATCTTACCTCTCTTTGCAGCTTTGACAGACTTGGTCACTTCACAACATATTCCACGGCTCAACAGAAATGATCCCGAACGAACACAAGATAAAATCCTCTCACGACTCTGTGAAGCATTACATCCACCACAACTAATACACCAAGTCACAAATACAATACCTGTAGTGGCACTAGGACGCCGATGTATACCCGACGATCTCAGATATATGCTGTGTCTGGTGGACGTTTACGCATCTAGAAGTTTTTCTCCTCTGCCCGATGAGATTGATGTCGGTGAGCCTGCCTAAAAAACATGATCAGGTTTACGTTGAAGTAACACCTAGAGAAATTATGCTGATTAGACTGTGTTGTAAATGCTGAGTCCTTTGCTTAAGTGACGTAGCCTGGCAACAGTCTCGACATAAACGCGTCTTTGCTGTACTTGTCAACTACGACTGTCCATGACAAAGCTATCATTCCTCCCGAAACAACATGCACTTATCGCTATCTACTAAACCCGTCGTCCAGCGAGTCACAGCCGTCCTCGCCATCTTCCCCCTGCATCATTCAGCTCTTCAAGCAAAGCCTTGACGCGCGCAATCGCTGCAGGGGACGATACGATCGAGCAGGAATTGTGCCGCTTTACAGCAACTAGCACAATGTCTCGGTCACCCGTCTGAGCGGGTTCCGAGTCGTCCAGCGCAACAGCAAGGCTTCCCTCTGCCATATCAGCTAGTTGCTCCCGAGCGTGCTTGCCTGCATTTTTCAACCACATTTCGCGGGATCCCAGGAAGGACGAAAATTCATCCAGCGGCAAGCTCAACACTCGAGCATTCATCTCAGACATCAATACTCGTGCTCCGTCATCTGTAAGCTCATCAGAAACAACGTCGGTCTCCGTTCCTGGTCGCAGCGCGAACACACCAGCGTGATAGATACTCAACCGTCCACGAAAATGGTTAGTGACCAGCTCTGCGACAGCAGGCGTGACCACGTGCACCGCACGCTTTTGACGAGCCATACCTACGCGCTCCAGGAATGCCAAGTTGCTATGAAGTCCGAAAAATGACCGCATGCATGATAGGTGCTTCGTGTCAAGGGTGGTAAAACTACCAAACGGTTTTTCAGCCTTCGCCTGCTTTTTCTCCTTCTTATACATTGTAGCCGCCTTATTCATCGATAGAGTAAGTGGGGCCGGACCCATAGCAGCTGAGACGACATCGGTTTCACGGACCTTACGCATGACCGCAAGAAACAAGCCATGGGTATTGTTCTGGTGAGGCAACACGCGAACACAGCGGTCAAGATGCATGTCGTCGCACTCTTTCGATGCCGGAGCCCACATAGACGGACGAAAACGATGCCGCTGGTCTTCTGGTGTATCATCCCACGTAGCCACATCAAGAACGTCCCACTTCGTCACGCCATGCGAGCGCTCCAACCCTTCCATTATATGGTCGGTCTTGACAAGCTCCAACGCCCCCTTTGACCGGCGGAGTAGCTCAGCAATTACTGCCTCATCTTCAATCGGGTTTAGTGATCGAGTGCTGTACAGCAACAAACCTCCAGTACGTACAAGAGCGAGCGCATGTTCAGCCAGACCAACTTGACTCGGGTGGTGAACCAGCGCTTGCTCAGGACTCCATGTACGCCACTTCTCAGGGAGCTTGCGAGCCAGACCATCACCAGAACACGGCGCACAGCAAATGACGCGATCAAAGAGACCATCCGCGGCCGATGGGATAGGAAAGTCCTCTGGTTTGTGCGCCGTCACCACGAGCTCGCGAACAAGCGGCAGTGTGCGTGTCAGGTTACGAACTGCCGACGCCGCCTCTGTAGCGTCGTGTTCGTTCACGACCAAAAGGCTTCCTGCACTGGTGCTGGCGTTAATGCTAACACGATTCACAGCGGCAGGACACAAATACTCGGCCACAACCGGTGCACGGTGTTCGCCACCGCCACAAAGATCTAGTACTCGTTGACCCGGCTGCACATCCAAGAATGCCGGTAGCACAGTAGCAGCAGGATCCTGCCGAAGAAGCGTGCCTAAAGATCCTTGGGCTCGCACATACGTTTGAAGCGAGCGCAAACTTTCCACCTTACGACAGGTTTTGCTGTCCACGGAGAGCTTCCACAGTCTCTTTTCGGGAACCCACGCCTCAGGCCCAAACTGTACGTGCATCTCCCCGCCTCCCACAGGCACCGGTACCTTCACTTCCTCCAGATTAAAGTCCATCTCCAACGTTCCTGTCACGATCTCGCTCAAGCTTTTGTAGTTGCCATTCACACGCACGTACACGGGCAGTGGCTCTCTCAAGCAAGCCATGAAACGCGCAAACTCTTGCTTCGCCAGGCATAAACAGCGCTCATAAAAGCGCTCAAAAGCGACATTCTCGCGATCAAACTTGCGCCACACAATCTTCTCGGCTTTTTCTTCCCTGCACCTCTTTTTGCGCTGTTCCAGCACGTCTTTCTCCACGTTTACGCGCTTGCTAGTCTTCTGCTTCTTTGTCTTCTCCAGCTCAAAGTCGTACACAATATCGCCATTCTCCAGCGACGGCAGCGGAATCGTCGCGGCTCGATTCGAGTCGTTCAATGCGTCCGAGTCGCTGTCGTACAGACTCTTCTTTTGCACACGATGGTGAGGCGTTTCAGTGGACAGAACTGCAGCTGATGACGCATGACGCGACGCCGTCGGTTGCCTCCTCTTCTTGTCTCGACGCAACGCAGCACGGCTCTTACCAGCCATTGTTGGATGGAGATTGGGTCTATTCGAAATGGGTACATCGTGACAATTCGATGGTCGGGACACAGCTTCATTTTAACTGGCTGTAAATCAAAGCAGGAGGCTGTGAGCTGCAATTAATTCAGTACATTGAAGCAAGAAAGCGAATGAACTTTTTATACCGATGAAACAGCGAGTGAGGAGGCCGTCCACATGTGATGATGACTACTGTTTTCTACCAATCAGATCATCGGATTGATCCGCTCGATCTACTGACCTACCGACAGCAGAGAAAGAGTGCGCAGCGCATCTCTGTACGAATGGAGGCGGTGACGGAGCACCTGCAACGACTACTAGAAGCGTGTGTGGCTATTAGTACTGCAGCTGCTGCGAGCTCTCCCGATACCTGTGACATTGATACTCGAGTGCGGACTGTCGATGCGTCTCTAGGGTTGCCCTTCGAGCACCTGCAGTATTGGGATTTATTATGCGACGAATCGCTCCCATTGGTCAAAGATCTGGCACTGCTCCTGGCGAGCACCAACATTTCGACCAATAAGATGCTGAGTCTGCTACGAGTGATACTCGTGCACCCATCGCTTCACTGCGCTGGGCTCGTGCAATTAGCGCAATTGACGTTCCATGGTTTCAAGCTGACCAAGCGCTGGGACGTTTTAAACGCTGTGTCGAGTCATTTGCTGGATGCAATTTATGCAAAGATACTGCGGAAAGATACCCGGGAACGAGCGTTCCGTTTCTATGTTGACGTCCTAGGTGGATTTCAGCATTCGGCTGAGCTGTTTACGACAAATGCGACGAAGCTTATCCAATTGGCAAATTTATTCAGCACAGAAGACAATGAACAGGTTAGGGAAATGGGCAATCGATTATCGGTGCTGTGTGCTGCTCTGGAGCACTGTCACCGAGGCTACGAGGCAGAAGCTATGGCGCTACGCAGCGCCATGCGACTGAATTTTGGACCTCGTGTCATCCGACCTACAGCTGCCGAAGCTGAGAGACTACTAAGAGCTAGTGCATGGATACTACCAGCGGAGAAGCTGGATGCTATGCTGCCTTCTATTGAAGGGAAATGGGTTGCTGACGAGTTTGTAAGTGACCAACAGTGCAACGGCGGACCCCATCAAAATGCGGGCTCGGTGTTGCTAAAGAAGACGACGAACTGCTTTGCGCATGAAGTGCGAGCAACTATCACTGACCCTAAGTTAAAGCACAAGCTCGAGTTGACTGGGTCTTTGTTTCAGCAAATGCCAGAGATGCAGGTTTTAGTGTCGTATTCCGGTACAAGAGCGGCATCGACCTGGAAACTCGAAGGGCATTGGCGACAATTGGATGAGGAGATTGCTTCTGCAACGTTAGCTCCACCGACGACTCTGGTTTCGGCACCGACCTGGCATTGTGGAGCTTGTACAATGAACAATGAATGTTCTTTGACGTTGTGCTCAACGTGTGGAACCGAGCGGCCGGCAGATGCTGTTACGCAAGCGATCCCCAGCAGTGACAAAGGTAATAATCCTGCACCATATTCAGCAGTGCTTAGCTCAGACATGTCATTTATGCGCATAAAGTGGTCCCGCGGGGAGCAACAAGGAGTTTGGCTTGCACGGAAACAGATTATTGAAACCGCCTTCGATCTTACGACGTCGCTCGTGGCTGGGGATGACGCGATGACGGATTCCACTCGCTTGCCAGCTTTCGTTTTTTCGCCCGAAGGTATTCCGGCAAGAATTTTAGTAGTTGAGCGACCTCTTCTGTCGACATCAGATCACACTGAGTTTACTGTTCAAGTGTGGATTTGCCCGCAGCAGGCGCCGTCAGAAATTGAAGCTCAAGTGGTGTTTGCTAATGGACAGGATTTTGAGCTAATATTGACAAGTGCTGGACATCTGGTGTGGCATGTCGCTGGTGGACGATACACAGTGACTTCGCGTGGTGCTGTTCAGTTTGGCGTATTCTGTCACGTGACACTTCTGTTTGGCCATGACATTATGATCCTCCTACTTGATGGCTCGACAGCAGGTGAAAGCACTAGATCGGACGAGCAAAATCATGTTGTACCGGGAGCATCGTTGCTATCTATCGGTGGTAGCATCGAGAATTGTGACTCGCAAAAGAACGGAAAAGTGCGAAGTTGTTTTTATGGACAATTGCTCGATTTGCGTATTTATTCGGCACTACTTTCAAATCTTGATCGAGCTTATAGTATACGGCACGCTTTATCTGGTTGTGAGGGACATCTTGTGGGATATTTTCCACTTGTTGGAGATTCAGAGCGACTGTTGATGGATTTGTCAAACCAGCAAAACCATGCGTGTGCCTTGGATGGATACCAATCCCCCGACTCTGTCCATGATGCATTAATCCCATCGGTCTGTAATTCTGTCCCTGCAATCCCGATTGAGGCTATCCCTGTGGAGAATGCACTTGCCCTTTCGTTGGGCGTCGACTTTATCGGCTGTGGCGAGTTATCTTTTTCCGACGGCTGCCAAGGACTTCATATTGGTTGCAGAGATTCTGGGGCTGCCTTATGGCGTCAGAATGCTGTTTTTATTGCCTGTGGCTTTCAGTCTTTCTTTTCCATTGCATCGCCTGTCTCACCAGAGGCGCCGTCTTCGCGCAGAAGCGTTGTATTTGCTCTGTGTGAAGCCACATTCTGGAATCTTGTCCCGTTGCTGTCAGAAGCAGCTGGTATATCGCATGCTACTTGTGATAATGAAAAAGCACCACTTTGTCCGTTCAATGGCTCCGCAATGTTGATTAACATTAGCTCAGATGTTGTCGCTCCGGGCATTTTGATGTACGACTTAGGTCTGTACATGTGGTCCAGAAAGCGAAGCAATCCGTTGTCGCGCGTATATCGCGTTGCTGGGAGTTCCTCTACCGCCCCATCAGATTTCCACCTCAAATACGAGCTGCCAGAGCGTATTTTATCGGTTGCCATTGGTGGCGTCGGTGTTGTATTCGAAGTCGCGATGGATCTTGAGCTTGCACTATGTATGGAGCCAGGCAATCCAGCTCGCGTAGGCTTGATTTTCCCCGTGAGCAAGAACTCCACAAGCCAGCGAAGTTCAACTAGGCTGATAAATTGGTCATTTGAATCGTTCAACAATAGCTTGCCCAATGATGCTGCAAACTCAGTTTTGGGAAATGTGTATTCCTCTTTTCGCCTTGAAGGCTCAGATGGAGACATGGGTCACGGCGGCGGTACGGACGGTACCACTTTGTGCACCAGGGTGAGTACGGATGGCAGCGCTATCGCTCAGCAGTCGTATGGTTGTCAGACTTGCAACTTGGTGCATGGCAATAGCGTTTGTCGGGTTTGCGCTGTGATCTGTCACGAAAGCCACGAGCTCGTTGTGCTGGGCGCAACAACAACAGCCTGCGCTTGTCGTATCCGCGGTAGTGGCCTTTGCCGATGCAACAGTGCTGTCCAAGCCTCCGGTTTTCCTATGCTTACGGAGCCTGTGAAAGCGTCACTGTGGGGCTGCAGCAAATGCACCGTGATTAATAGTATAGATCTTGAGCAATGTAGTGTATGTGGCAACAATGCACCCAAACTGGATGCCAGTTCCGTCTCTGCGGCACCGAAGTCTATCTTCTCAGCATCAGCGCCAGTGGAGCAGTCGACCCCTGCAGTGAACTGGTCATGTAACGCCTGCACTATGCTCAATGAGGTGAATGACACGAAATGCTCCGTTTGTGATACCTTGCGGCCTAAACAAGCTGACCCTGTGCCAGGTGAAACCAGCGAAACGAGCAAGTCCAACAAAGGACCCACATCCCTCTACTACGCAGCCGACGATGCTGCCAAGCAGGATCATCGAATGGCAATGCAGCCTACTTCGTCTTGGATTTGCTTAGCATGCACGATGGAAAATAAGACTTTGGACACAACATGCCACATGTGCGCGACGGCGCGGGAAATTCCCGTTTCCTCTACCGTCGGTTCTCCAGAAGTGGTGATGACCCCGCCTACTTCAAAGATTGATGATTTGCCCGCTTCTGTTTCGACAGGCATGGATATGGATATGGACGGGGGTGATCCGGTGATCGTTTCTGAGTCTGTCGCAACCAGGCAACCTTCGAAGACTGAAAATGTGAAACTTCTCGATGAATACAAGCGCACCGCAGCCATTGCTCTTAACCACTTGCTTGAAGTAGGAAGCATAAACGACTCGGTGTGGGAAACTACTGGAGGCACGATGCGTGTTGCACTCGGCAATAGTTTTGTAGGTGAATACATCTGCGGGACGTACATGGCGAGAGATGGAAAACTGAGTGGACTAGCTCGGGTGACGGAGGAGGGTACCTGGAAATTCGACGGTAAATTTAAGAAAGTCAGTCAGTCCCAGTCAAACGCGTGCATGCTTTCCTGGGACAAAACAGCCTCTCGCTTTGACGGAAAATGGTATCGTGGCGACGGGTCGGGCGATTGGAAGTGTCTTTCGGCACCTTATACATCTGATTTCCGTGGCATAGCCCCCGCGGACCCGGTGAAGAAGCCGAGTGAGTTTCAACCGTACTATACAGGCATGGTGAATATGAAGCAAAGTTTGACAAATGTTTGCTACCAGAACAGCTTCCTCCAGACTCTCTACATGACCCAAGATTTCCGTCGCTTCATTATGTCGTGCGACGCTACAAACTATGCAGGGCTGTACAAAGATAATGGAGTAACAACTGGTGGAAATGTCGTAGCCACAATCCAACATCTTTTCGCTCAGATGACTGCTTCGCAGAGGCCTTTCTTGGCCTCGCACGCCCTCCAACAATGCTTGCCTGCTGAGTTCAAAAACGGACGCCAGCAAGACACATCGGACTTTGCGCACTTCTTGATTGATTCCCTCAGTCAGCGGTTGAGCCAGCACCACGTTATTGCGGACGAGATTCCATCAATTTTTGGTGGCCACCAAGCAACGATTCTGGCGTGCAAGACGTGCGGTAAGAAATCTGTGAACCGGGAATACTTTTGGGAATTGTTGTTGAACATGATTGATCTTCGGTACACGCCTATCACTAGTATTTCCGCTGTAAGTGGATCTGCGATGGACATTCAAACCCCGGGGGGTTACGAACGCTTGAATGCTGACTTGAATAAGGATCGTACGGGTGCACCGTACGTCTATCTGTGCGTACGGAGATGTCCGGAGCGGGTCATTTCCGATAGTTCGATGGAAGATGAAAGTGATCAAGTTATGCCTATTACGGAATTGGTGGTCAAGGTGATATCAAGTACCGACCCGAAGCCCTCCTTGCCCGGATTCGAGCGCGTGGAATTAGATCTTAATGTTGGTGGTGGCACTACTAGTGGCTTGAAGAAGCAAGTGTATCTGTTATTTCGACGCGAGCCAAATGGATCGCCCATCACTGACTTGCAAGTGACCTATGGCAACGAGTCGATTCCCGATGGCTTCAAACAAATTCATGTGGACCTTAACCAGGGCGAGGGCTCAAAGGTATATTTGTGCTATCGCTGTGACATGCCCATCACGGATTTGAAAATCGTGAACAGTGGAATACCTGGATATCGAATGTTGGACCATCTACTTAACGTTAGCCATGGAGATGTGGTGAAGCAGTATCTTGCACTGAAAGTTGGAGGTAATGAACCCTGCTTGACCGACTTGAAACTTGTAGAAGGTCCCGATGTGTCTGCATACGAGGAGCAAGGATGGCAGTCAATTGGGAGCCCTTTTTCTTCAGCAGCGCTATTGGATCCTTCTATGGATGGGGAGCCGTTCGTGCCATCACAACTCATTGTTCGCCGCGGTCACGGCAACCCCATTTTTGCCATAGATGTGTTCCGTGCGCCCCGGCAAGTGCCTAAGTACAATGATTACGAGATAATTGAGCTCTTCTCTACTGACACCACTTGCACAGATGCCTTTGCTCGATTGAAAGGAGATTGGTTGGGAACTGAAGAAACAGAGCGCGAGAGAAGGGCAGTACAGATACGCTCTGTCTCCGAATCAATGCCGGGTGCGCTGCTTGTGAAAGGATGTTTGGATGGTAAGGGAGAACTTTGTTGTGTCACGTTAAGCGTTTCGACATGGGCAGGTACTGTCGTACGGGGGCCCGCCTCTGATGCCGGATCTGGTGTGCCTGTCGACCTTCCATCAGGTGAGACTTGGGGTAGCAACGCTATTCCAGTTAGTTATCGTGCTTCTGGTTATTGGAAAGACCTTGATGTGCCAAGCCCGCAACTGGTTGACGTGGAGCTGCGACCCGCTGCTTCCAATGTAAGTGGCGCTTCATTTACTCCGAGTGAAGTGTCGGTAGCAGATGCACCAGAACAGTCGTATCTAATGAGTGGGGTCATTGGGGATGGAAGGGGAAGCCTTGTTGCGATTCAAGGCGTTCAAACGTCGAGAAAGGTTAATACCAAGTGGCCAATCAGTGAAATTATGGTTTTACGTGGTGATGAGAGCGTACCCGAGGGTGTCCAGGTTGTTCGCAATACGTGTTCTGGTCGTTCAGGAAATTTGTTGGCTCAGACGACATCGCTCTACACGTTGTATTTGGCGTTCAAGCGTGAGGAGGGACTGGCAAACGGCTACGTTACTGACGTTTGTGTAGTCTATGGCGAGATCGATGCTGTTCCGGAGCACTATACTTGCATTCATACGACGCCTGCAGGGCATTCTGCCAACGTGAACGATGGGACACTGGGTGTGCCTATTTTCATTTGTTTTAAACGGGGTGGAGATACAGCAGCGATCAACGATGAAAGCGTTATTTCCAAGAGTTTAATGGATCTGGCGTTAGTGTGGACTTCGGGTGTACAACCAGATGCAGTTCCTGCCGGCTTTACAAAAATTCAACACACTCCTCTTGGCATGGAAGCTAACCTAAACCAAGGCACTTGTGGTGTGGCAATCCACCTATGTTTATCGAAAAGCGAGACAAAAGAGATTGTTGAGCCGCTGGACAACCCTTTGAACGGTGAATACGAAATCACGAGCTCCCCATTGCCGGCGTTTGGTCGGTTTCTCACTCTCTCGGTGATAGAGGAACTCGAAGACGCACGTTTGGTGGAGGGCAATTTCGGTACCGTGTTGCATGGTCAGTTTATCGGATCGATGAGTGGTATTTTGTTTTCATCAAAGCACCAGCAGGCAGGTAATGCAAAGACAGACACCGTTGTTGGTGCATGGAGGATTGAGAGCTCATTGGCTCGCGGCGTTGGCGCAAGTACGAATGATTTCTTGCCTTTGAGCTACCCATTCGAGTTGACTCTGAACGATACATGCACTGAGCTGGATGGATGGTGGAGTGGTGTTGAGGGTGTCTCACCAACTGTTCCTAAATCAATTGTCTCTGGTTCCAGTAGCGTGGCTTCCAGCAATGCATTAGTATCTGGCTTGTCTCCTGCGATTACCGGCGGCAAGTGGAAACTCATTAAAGATTCTTACGTACACGTGGCATTTAAGAAAGACTACAGCACCGAGTGGCAGGATGACCAGCTCATGTTCTCGGAGCGCGTGTGGCGTCACGACATTGAGTCCATGTTAACGCGTTTTGTAGCTACGCGCACATTAGGAGGCGATAACGCGCTTTCGTGTAGTGCGTGTCAGCGTAAAACGGAGTGGCGGACGAACACAGTGATCTTTGATCCACCGGAGCATCTAATTATTACATTGAAGCGCATGTACTACGATTGGAGCCAGCAGAAAGCGTGCAAATGTCTGCATGACGTGCAATTCCCTGCACTGCTGACGCTACCATCGCTTACACCCGAAGAAGAGCTTGCGGTTTATACTTCAGACACTGAGGGCTCAACAGGCGCAGAACAGCAGCATCTGCCACGTCACTACGGTCTCTACGGAGTGTTAGTGCACTCTGGTCTTACCGCCAGCTCGGGGCATTATTACAGCTTCTGTCGAGAGAGTGATGACAGGACTTGCCAGCTGCACTTGGAAGATTCACCTCTCTCTCCATGGATCAAATTCAATGACACGAAAGTTGAGCGCTCTGATTGGAAAGAGATCAATCGACTGGTAGCTAGCACCGTGTCGGATACTGTATATCTGTTGCTGTATAAAAAACTGTCGTACGAGCCGACACGTCGAAACGGCGATGGAAGCCAGGATGCTGGAGCTGTCGGGGGCGCGAATGCTGATGATAAAGAAGCCATGCTGCTCGCGAAAGCAATGGCGCTGTCAATGTCGGCGGCCAGATACGACCAGTATCGATGTGATGAGGAGGAAGAAACCAAGGGAGACCCCAGTGCTGTCAGCGACCCTGATGGTGAGGACGGGTCTGCGCGATCGACCAGCATGGTGACCAAGGCACTCCTCAAAAAGGTACGCGCAGTAGGGTTTGCTGATGATACTACTTGATGTCACTGATAACTTGGTTGTGGACTTTGTTTGATAGGTGGAAGAAGAGAACGCAGCATATCTGCAAGACCTGGTGGAAGCAAGCTCCAGTGCACTCCATGCTGATGATTTACACACGCTACTGGTGCTACGCCACTCACTGCCAGTGCGTCTACGTGCACTACTGGACGGAGTTCGCTAGTACAGCATGTACACGTTCATTTTGCTTGACCTTGATTGGAATGCAAAAAGAGTTATAAAATGATGTTGAACGAATTGGAATATCGATTCGGTGCGAGTGCGCACACGTGGCCGGACGCCATTTTGCGTACCATCACAGCAGAACGGCAACGAGGTCGACCATTACGCAGCTGTAGCGACCACGGCATGGCGTTTAAACACACCAGTTTGCTCACCCTGCGCCTGCTCCCACCTCGCCAGCTTGCTGCGGTACGTCTGGATGAGGAACTTGAGAGCCGTGGGACCGCCAATGACAGTCTCGAGCTTGTCGCGACTGCGCAGGTCCAAAAGCGAGAGTTCAACCAGCCCTTCCGAGATGGAGTACACTGAGTTTAACGTGAGCTTCGTGCAGCCCCAGAGGCGCAGCTCCTTGAGCCGAGGCATTGATGTAGCTACTTGCACGATGGCGGCATCACTCAGTCGCGAACACTGTGAAAGGTTCAGCGAGCGAAGCCCTGGCAGCGATTCACACAACGAGTACACACCCTTATCCGAGACCTTGTAACAGTAACGCAAGTTCAAGTCCTTAAGCAGCAACAAGTGCGTAGCAATTGCAGCTACCACCTCGTCGTCCACCTTGTGTACGTAGCGCAGATTCAGCCGTTCAAGTTGCGAGCAGTGCTGTATGACGTGAACAATGGCAGCATTGTCCACATTGTGACAGCCCCATAGACTCAAGTCACGGAGCTGTGTGCATTGCGCAATACCACAAACATCTTCTCCAGCCAGTGTGTGGCAGCCCAGCAGGTCCACAACCTGCAACGAGTCTGCGTTTGTACGCAGCAGTTTCTCCAGCGCTTTGCTGTCTACAGCCATATCTCTGAATCTCACCTCTCTCAAGTTACTGCACATATCGGCAAGGAGCCTGAGAGCTTCCACGTCCATTGACGCACATTTGTTAAGCTGCAAAACCTTCAAAGGCTTTAACGCCTCCTTGGCCCCTGCACTTCTCAACACCGAAGCATCAAACCCTTCACAACCAGCAAGACGGAGCGTTGTCAACCCTGTAGGCGCCGAATGCTTGAGCACAGCTGTCCAAAAGCCCCTAGACTCGTGCCTGAATCTGGACTTGCAAAGGTGCTCGGTCTTGCCTTGACAAGCCTCGCACTCTCCACAGTACGACACGACCACAGGAGCCAAAGGTTCTCGATACAGCAGTTGTCTGTAGCTGCTCAGCAGTACAAACTGCTCCCGGATGCTCAAAAACTCAAGCACTTGACGGAGATTTTCACTGGCTAGAGCTTCGAAACCAGTGCAACTTTCCATGACGGTAGAACAAGTGGTTATCGTCTCAAAGACGAGCAGGTACTGGTCTCCGATTCACGCAATCAAACAACTTGGTCCACCGGTGAAGGCCGAACGGGTTTCGTGCGAGCGCTGGTTGATCCACTGGTGCTGTGGGCAGTCCTTGAGCATTCCTCGGCTTGAATGGGGGCGGACAAAAGTGGACGCTCGGAGACGTCAGGCGCTGGAGCTGGAGCGAACACGACGCAGAAACTCGAAGGCGGCGAGACTGTCTGCTTGCTTGCCAGCTGGAAATTCAGAAATGAGGGTCCAGTAGCGCTTTGCTTTGATACCGGGTGGGAGGGTGCATGTTGTTTTTGGTCTTGCGCTATGTATGCGCTTTTTTAGCAGGAAGGTTACCGTTAGGGATTTTCCATGGAGTATTATTAACTGGTCTTTGAAAATTTCGATACTTTCGCCATGAACGAGAAAATGAGACGATTGGACGGATACTATCTAGGAGGATCTGATTACGTGGACACGTTTGCCAACAGTGTGCACTTTTGTTTCGTGATGTTGCAACTGCACCACGCTTGCAACGTAGAATCTCTTGGCGATGATTCTTTCTTCGAGACTAGTTGACGATTCTGCAAGTGCACTCTGAGCCGCTGCTTCAGCGAAGGGTACGAGGACGATGGGTGATTCTGGGACGGACCAAAACATCGACACCCACATGCACCAGCGTATGCTCGGCTGTTTCGCTTGCGCTGTCGCGTGTTCCATTATGACACAGAGAGGTTGTAAGCAGAAACGCACTGCTCCCCATGCGGCCAATTCCGGTCAAAGTTCCAGTTGAGCACTGGACATTGTCGATGTGTCGTGTTTAGGAGAGCACGGTCTCTGCTTTGGTCCCGTATACTCGCATTCTCGGCAATGCCTGCTCGA